CCCACGGTCCCTCCCCCTTGCTGACTCATGTCTTCCCCTCTCCAGTCAGAAATACCTCCAAGTCCACCCACCTGCCAGCAGCCCCTGACCGCCCCCTCTGGGCACAACCGCCTGYGCATCTACCCTTGGAGCAGTCACTAGTCAGTTCTGGCCCTTTACTAAGTGGGGACCAAGAGGGTGGGGTGAGCCTGGAGCAGGGCCCATGGCAGGCCTGTGAGACCTGCAGATGAAGGGCAGACACAAAGGAGACAGGTGAGCACGAGGGCAAGGTGCAGGTGGGGATGAGGGGACAGGCAGAGCAGGCCTGTGGTGCTGGGAAGAACAGGTGAAGCTCAGGGGAAAGGGCTCCTAAAAGGTAAATGTGACCTAGAATGTGGGTGAGGACGTTGGAAAGAGCCCAGAGAAGAGATCCAGAGAGGCTGAGGGTGAGGACCCAGAGGGCCATGCACAGCACAGACACCTGCCAAGGTGATGCAGGTAGCAATACAGGTGGGCAAGAGATGAGTGTTGTTAAGGTAAGGTACAGGTGAGCTCAGGTGAAGGTGTTCAGGYCTGGCCAGGTGAGGACAAGCAAAATGCAGGTAGATATGGCTGAGGGTGCAGAGGAGAGCACAGGTGGGGGTTCAGCAGGGAGCACTGGTCAGATTCRGTGAGGATACAGGTAAGCAAGCAGGTGAGAACTGGGTGCAGAGGCGGGGGCTGCTGGCGGAAGGGGGTGAGCATTCAGGTGAGGACGCAGCTGGAGGGCAGGTGAGTTAGGGCTTACTTCAGACGAGGTGCAGGGCAGGCTGCGGGGTGGCAGTGAAGGAGGGAAGGAGGTGGGGAACAGGGGAGAGGCAGGTGCCCCTTTCCTCTCGCAAAAGACTCCAGATTTGGGGAGACGTGGAGTACGACCGAAGCTTTATTGGAGGGGTGCGGTGGTGGTCAGTTGGGGCAGCCGAAGACCACCATGCTCTCGGCGAAGGCGCCCAGGTCCTGGCACTGTTTCTGGTTCTCCTCGTCCTGGCATTCTTCTGCCTCGGGCCAAATCTCCACCCAGGTGTCCTTGCCAATGATGTAACGGATGCTGGGGGGGGCGGCAGGTCAGGAGGGGGCGGGGCCGGAGCGGAGCGGGGGCGGGGCCGGAGCAGAGCGGGGGCGGGGCCGGAGCAGGGCGGGGGCGGGGCGGGCGCGGGCAGGCGGAGGATACCCACTTGGGTTTTTCTCCCCAGAGGTCAGAGGAGAGACCCCACACGAGGTAGTGCTTGCCGTCCTGCAGCTTCAG